GTCATGTTGCAGCCTTGTTCAAAAATGGAGTCACTTCACTTTTCACTTACATTAAAATTGCAGCGCCCCAACACAGGAAGTCTGGTTCAGCTCCCTATTTAAAAAGTCCCGTCTCTGATTCTACGAGTATTACCCAGCAGGCAGTGCGGCACTCGGGTGGCGCCAATTCAATTCAATTCAATTTATTTATACAGCACCAAATCAACAGTCACCTCAAGGTGCTTTATATTGTAAGGTCGACCCGACAATAACAGATACAGAGAAAAACCCAACAATCATATGACCCCCTATGACCAGCACTTTGGTGACAGTGGGAAGGAAAAACTGCCTTTTAACAGGAAGAAACCTCCTTTTTTTTGTTTTTAAAAACACGATTTACAACCTGAGTAGCTGATAAAGTGATAGATCTTTCAGCCCAATTCTACTTTTTCTGCATAATCCATCATACAAAATGTAATCAGATGGAAAAGTCTCTTTTTAAAACTTGTTTTATTAGTTTTAATCTTTTAACTTTATGCATCAAGCAAAAATTTAATTATATGCACCATTCTCTGACTTGAAGAAATTAGTTTAACATTTAAACCTATTTTCTGCACATTCCAGCACATGGGCCTGATCTCTGACAACAACGAGACGGCCTACCTGAAGGAGATTAGGAATCTGGAGAACTGGTGCCAGAGGAACAACCTCCTTCTAAACGTCAGTAAGACAAAGGAGCTGATAGTGGACTTCAGCACTAAGCAGGAGAGGAACTACCAGACCCCCGTCATCAACGAGTGCCCAGTGGAGAGAGTGGACAGCTTCAAATACCTCGGAGTTCACATCACGCAGGACCTGTCATGGTCCTGTCACATCAACACCGTGGTGAAAAAGGCCCGACAGCGTCTCTACCACCTCAGACGCTTGAGAGACTTCCAACTGCCCTCCAAGGTGCTCAGGAACTTTTACTCGTGCACCATAGAGAGCATCCTGGCGGGAAACATCTTAACCTGGTTCGGGAACAGCACCATGCAGGACAGACGAGCTCTACAGAGGGTTGTGCGGTCAGCTGAGCGCACCATCCGCTCCGAGCTCCCTGACCTGCACTCAATCTACAGCAGGCGGTGCTGGACCAAGGCCAGGAAGATCGTGAAGGACCTCAGCCATCCCAACAACAGACTGTTCTCTCTGCTGAGGTCAGGAAAGCGATTCCGCTCCCTGAAGACCAACACAGAGAGACTGAGGAGGAGCTTCTTCCCGCAGGCGATACGGTCTCTCAATCACACCACCACACAGTACTGACCCACACATATGGTTCTTACACACACACTGGACTTTCTGGACTTTGGTTTTGCACAACACTGGTCACTATATTCTTCATTTCCAGTTAATACTTGTACAGCTGCTGTTATTGTGTATATATTTATTTATATTTAGATTTCTTCATACATTCTTATATAGTTCTATATTGTGTATTTTGTTGTACAGTTATTTTATTTTCAACTTTAATTTATATATTTTATCTTATTCCTTCCTAGTTAAATTTACCCTTTTTAATTTTTCATATTTATTTCCTATCTTATTCATAGCCTTTTCCTTTTTTGTTTTCTTTAGGTCACGAGCAGTTGTCCAAGCATTTCACTGCATATCGTACTGTGTATGACTGTGTACGTGACAAATAAAATTTGAAATTTTGAAATTTGAATTTAAAATAAAATATTTTTTGTGTTTACACTCAGTCTTTTAAATAGATGCAAGCAAAACACAGCAGAAAATAAATAAAGTCAAAGACTCAGCAGTCCTGTTGCTCTATTTTCACCTGTAAAGCAGGACTACGGTAGGCGGAGGTTTACCCTGGTGCAGGTGAGCCGCAGCGGTCAGTGGAAGGATACGGCAGCTTCTTTGTGAGTTTCACATTCCCGTGGCAGCGTTTTTGTTTTTGTCACTTTTTATGGAATCAAACTCAAAGTAAGGTCAGTACTTCCACGCTTTAAATGCTGCACACTCATACTCTCTCCGTACTGATATATGATCCACTGTTGATCTGCACACAGCTGTTGTCACGAACGTCGCACTCGCACTCGCTTACATCACTGTCAGGGCAGGGATAGCTCAGTAGGTAGAGTGGTGGCCCCATGATCGGAAGGTCGGGGGTTCGATTCCCCTGAACAGCTACCCTGAGGTACCCCTGAGCAAGGTACCGTCCCTACACACTGCTCCCCGGGCGCCTGCTTAGTGGGCTGCCCACTGCTTCACTGAGTGAATGGGTCAAATGCAGAGAAAAACAAGTAATTTCCCCATGGGGATCAATAAAGTATCCATTATTATTATTACTGTTTTTGCAATAGTAATCCCCTACATTACTTGTTACTTGAAAAAAGTAATCAGATTACAGTAACTCATTACAGTAACGTGTTACTGCCCATCTCTGACTACAAGGTCATTAAGATAAGATGGGGCCTGATTATTTAAGACCTTGTATGTGAGGAGCAGGATTTTGAATTCTGGATTTAACAGGAAGCCAAAACAGGAGAAATCTGCTCTCTCTTTCTAGTCCCTGTCAGGACTCTTGCTGCAGCATTTTGGATCAGCTGAAGGCTTTTCAGGGAGTTTTTTTGGACTTCCTGATAATAATGAATTACAGTCGTCCAGCCTGGAAGTAATAAATGCATGAACTAGTGTTTCAGCGTCACTCTGAGACAGGATATTTCTAACTTTAGAGATGTTGCACAAATGGAAGAAAGCAGTCTTACATATTTGTTTAATATGAAATGAGAGGGGGCTCACGTGTGCACACCCTTCAGTCTCTGACCCTGTGACAGATTGGATGAGGTCCAGTATTGATTCTGTGACAGGATCATGTTGTTGCATCATCCTCTGTGTTTTTGGTTTGAGATTCTTGTTTTTGAAAAGAGCTGAAGAGTGCAGCTCATCATCATCATCACCCTGCTGGTGGCACTAAGTGCACTTCATTGTGTGTGGGTGTAGTCACACTGTCACACAGAGGAAATCCAAACGGGCTGTAAAGTTTTCTTTTACTTCACGAGCTGCTGCCCCACATGGAGTGTCAGGGTGATGTCTGAGCACCAGAGCAGCACTCTCTGATATTATTGGAGGGTCTCGACCTTATAAAGAGCCTTGAGGCGACTGCTGTTTAGTGGTCGCTGTACATTCTTACTCTGAGCTCTGGGCTCATACGAGCAGCTTCACCTGAAATAAAGTAAAATTAGATTTATATCTGACCTGTCAAGACAGAGATCACGAAAGATACCAGAGCAACAAAAAAGGAAAGTTGACCAAACGTAATTCAAAAAAGATGAGTTTTATTTGTTTTTTAAAAGAGTGAGTCCACAGATCTTTAGCTCAGAGGGAGAGAGCTCCACACTCTGTGGGTCACAGTGGCAAAAGCCTCGTGTGCTGATCACATGACCTCACACAGGGCTGTAGAAGTTCAATAATGTAAGCTGGTGCTGGTCCATGAAGAGCTCTAAAAGTCAGAACCAGAATCTTTAAATGGACTCTGAATTCAGTGGGGAGCCACTGCAGCTGTATTGACAGCACCACCTGTGAGTACCTGGAGGATGCAACAGGACTTAATTTAGCAATGTTTCTTCAGTGATCAAAGCAGGACTGAACCAGAGATTTGACATGAACATCCAAAGTAAGGCGGAGTCAAACGTTACCCCAAAGTTCCTGATAGACAATTTCACAAAAGGCGACCAAGAGCTTTCATTATCTTAGGCACAAATCTGTCAGGAGCACATACACATGCTTCAGTTTTTCCTTCATGAAGTTGGAGGACATTGTCAGCCATCCAGCCTTTAATGGGGTCTACAGCTTAGAAACGTGGGTGTCTCTGCTCAGCTGATGGGAAGGAGCAGCTGACATGGATGCCTCCAAGGTCAGGCGATTTTGGCACATTGACTGGGAGGAGACCCTTGGACAGACCCAGGACGTAACGGCTGGTTTGAGGAGGCCTCGGGGTCTGACCTGGAGAAGCTGGAGGAGGTGTTGGTTTGTGGTCATTCACAATAACCTGTGAGGTGATGAGCCCATGAGTTTAGTCTGTTCTGACTTCTCCCCCTGAGCAAACATCTCTCAGTGTAGCTGCTAACAGCTCCATAAGTGTGAGGCTGAGGAGAACATCCTTTCAGTGGAGCATAAATCAAAGCTCTCCGCTGCAGCTCCAGAGCCACATGAATGTCTCACATGCAGAAAGATGCATGTCCTGGTCCTTTGACAAGGACTGTGCCAAACTTCACATGGGGGGGATTGTCAAGATAGCACCATGCCTAACTTTGCAGTGGAAATCCTGGAAAGGTGAAACCACTCCCTGAAGGCCGTCAGCATGAAGATCCACCCTACGCCGTGATGGTCACATGTTCACAGTCAGAATACTTAATCAATTAAAATGAATCACTGAGAAATTATACACGCTCCTCGTGTTATATGTTCCCGCCTCTTTCTGATCTGTGATGTAAACTTTGATCGTCTGCCAGCGTTTTAACAAATATAACGAAAATAAATGTTTTAAATGTTTGATCCAAAGTGCGCTGCTGTGTGAAGTCTGTCTGTGTGCAGCTCATGACACATGCCGATAACAAACGAGACACAAACAGCTGATGTGCTCTGGTTGCAGCCCCCTAGTGGTCACAGCCTCGAACTACAGCTCCACCTTTTTCAGTGAGAATATTAATCCGTATGATGTCGTTCTGCTAAAACAATTCAATTTTAATTAAACAGCATCAAATCACAACAACAGTCGCTTCACTGTGCTTTATGTTGTAAGGTGGACCCTGCAATAATGCAGAGAATGACCTTGTAGTACCATATCACCCTATTAGAGCACTTCGCTCTCGCTCTGCAGGCCTACTTGTTGTTCCTAGAGTATTTAAAAGTAGGATGGGAGGCAGAGCCTTCAGTTTTCAGGCCCTCTTCTGTGGAACCAGCTTCCATCACTGTCCTCTGCTCTCATTTCTTCAGTTTTCACTGAGCTTTCAAAGATGACATGAGGAGGCTGCTGTTTATTCAGATCTTATTTTATTCATTTTGAGATGATTGTTAAAAATCAACAGTTTATTGCAGTGGTTTCTTTTGACGATGTGAGAAACCTGAAGAATTAGCTCGACAGATAAGCGCTGATTCAGTTTCCCATGTTTCAGTTTCTGAGTCAATTATTACAGAAAAAGGACTAAAATCCGTTTGTACAAACACAGCGAGGATGTTCATTCTTTCTCCCGGTATAAAAATAAGCTCTAAGTGCTTCACACACTTTAATACTGTCTCTGCTTCAGCGTGTTCACAGCTCAGTGTCGTCGATTAAAACTCTCCAGAAACATTTAAGAATAAAAGTCAACACGAATCAACGACATCGCCGTGTCCTGACAGGTCAAAGGTCAATCGCCTCCCTCAAAGCAAGCATGGAAACTCATTAAACTTTTATTAGAGGCATGAACCAGCTTTAGTAACTTTAGTTAACCAAGTGTTTAACTAAACCAGAGATAATAAACCCTGGTTTAGTTAGTGGCAGTGGAATGAAGGAAAGGTTAAAACAGATGAAAAACAATGAAAGAGCGACGAGACGAGCATCACGGCATCAGCTGGTGTTTATGGAGTAACGCCTCAGAGACACCAGAACGAAGTCAGCAGCTCCACATCCACAAAGTAAGAGGAACCCACGGATTCACTCCAACAGCAGGGACAACGTTTCTGATCCAGCTTCTGTTAGCTGGAGATCATGAGGATTATGAACTGAGAGCACGTTTCAGCAGTACAGCAGTATTGTAAGTGCATCATATCACAGCTTTTTAAAAATGTCGGCTGAACCTAACTGAAACAGGAACTTAAATACTGGTCTCAGATTTTTAAAACAAAAGTTTTCAGTAAAAAACCGAGCGACACGAAGGCGATGGCGATAAAATGACTGAGCTACACTTCAATGCTGTAAACACGCTACGAGGAAAAAAACCGATCCAAACGTGAATTCAAACCGACCAATCACAGCCAATCACGGGCTGCCTAATCAATGACGAAACCGTGGAAACCACGGCCATGATTCGGATTTCAGGAAGCTGGAGAGCAGAGAGCGACGCGTGGAGAAAGAAGAAGATGCTGACGAGTCTGAGACGTTTTCTGGCCGCGGCTTCCTGCGAGACTCAAACCGCCGAGTTCTGGAGAGTTTGGACCTCAGCGTGAAGGCGCATTCGATTCCTTTTGTTTGGGTTTGACTGAGCGTTGGTATCTATAACGAGCCAATCAGATTTCATGTTGTACTTTCAGGAAGTTTGAAAAGAGCATCAAAGCATCCTGTGGGCGTTCTTCTTCTGAAACCGCTGCTCTAGAAAACACCGTATCCGTCAGTGTGGCGAGCCGCCACAGCGAAGGCGGGGTAGCCATCGTAGGTGGTGTAGGCAGTCAGGTCCTGACCCAGAGACACGGCCTGCTTCAGCTGGGAGGCGACCGCCGTCGACGCCGGGCCCGCCAGCGTGTATCCTGCGGGGACACACAATGCAAGCTCAGCACCGCCTGTTTCAGGACGGCAGCACAAAACTTTAGCTGTTCTGATCCCATCGAAGCCTTTTAGCTGCAGCATTTTTATAGGCTGTATATAAAAGATGGACGTAGCCGCTGTGATGTCACCTCCTGGTTAGTGAAGTCTCTCGTCCTCTGCAGGAGGAGGAATGTTTTATTTTGAAAAATTGCAAGTCATCAGGAGAGAGTTCACTTACAATCACACAGCAGGCGCCCCCTGCTGGTCATCAGCACTCGCGCCATCTGGCAGGCTTTGAAGCCATGTCCATCTTTTATATACAGTCTGTGGTGTTTGGGCCTGCAGGTGAGCGTCTGTCAGCGGTTAGTTGAGTGAAGCGTTAGTCGGCTTTGGGTACGGACCTTCACATACCTGGGAAGGCTACTGCTGCCACGGCAGCCCAGTCGCACAGCTGGCATCGGTGGCGCCCTCCGTCTGCACGCCGAGCGTCTGCAGGGTGTGTTCGGCCGCGTGAATTTTAGCCTCTTCTACGCCCGCGCACAGCTTAGCAGGGGTGAAGGGATGGCTGCCGAGAGATACGTGAACAGGTGGACAGTCAGCGCTGCGTCCAGCTGAACAGCAGGCAGGTGATCAGACAGGTGAGACGTGCTTACACGTTGGGGTACTGAGTAGCCAGCGCTGGGATGGTGATCTTGTAGAGGAAGAGCTGTCTCTGGTCTGGACCGATGGCAGAGTGCAGCTGATAGACCGGCTGACCCCAGTTATTCTTCTGACAGAGCTCCTCCAGGACCTGACAGACAGGAGGACAGAGAGACAGGAGGACAGAGAGACAGGAGGACAGGCAGGCAGGAGGACAGACAGGAGGACAGGCAGGCAGGAGGACAGAGAGACAGGAGGACAGAGAGACAGGAGGACAGGCAGACAGGAGGACAGGCAGAAGGACAGGCAGGCAGGAGGACAGAGAGACAGGAGGACAGACAGACAGGAGGACAGAGAGACAGGAGGACAGACAGACAGGAGGACAGGCAGACAAGAGGACAGGCAGGCAGGAGGACAGAGAGACAAGAGGACAGAGAGACAGGAGGACAGGCAGGCAGGAGGACAGACAGACAGGAGGACAGAGAGACAGGAGGACAGGCAGGCAGGAGGACAGGCAAGCAGGAGGACAGACAGACAGGAGGACAGAGAGACAGGAGGACAGGCAGGCAGGAGGACAGAGAGACAGGAGGACAGACAGGAGGACAGGCAGACAGGATGACAGGCAGGAGGACAGACAGGCAAGAGGACAGAGAGACAGGAGGACAGGCAGGCAGGAGGACAGGCAAGCAGGAGGACAGAGAGACAAGAGGACAGGCAGGCAGGAGGACAGAGAGACAAGAGGACAGAGAGACAGGAGGGGGAAAGGCAGGCAGGAGGACAGACAGACAGGAGGACAGAGAGACAGGAGGACAGAGAGACAGGAGGACAGGCAGGCAGGAGGACAGACAGGAGGACAGGCAGAGATAGAGACAGGAGGACAGAGAGACAGGAGGACAGGCAGGTAGGAGGACAGAGAGACAGGAGGACAGACAGGAGGACAGGCAGGAGGACAGAGAGACAGGAGGACAGGCAGGCAGGAGGACAGACAGACAGGAGGACAGACAGACAGGAGGACAGGCAGGAGGACAGGCAGGAGGACAGAGAGACAGGAGGACAGGCAGCAGGAGGACAGACAGACAGGAGGACAGAGAGACAGGAGGACAGGCAGGCAGAGGACAGGCAAGCAGGAGACAGACAGACAGGAGGACAGGCAGGAGGACAGACAGGCAAGAGGACAGAGAGACAGGAGGACAGGCAGGCAGGAGGACAGGCAAGCAGGAGGACAGAGAGACAGGAGGACAGGCAGACAGGAGGACAGGCAGAAGGACAGGCAGGCAGGAGGACAGAGAGACAGGAGGACAGACAGACAGGAGGACAGAGAGACAGGAGGACAGACAGACAGGAGGACAGGCAGGAGGACAGACAGAAGGACAGGCAGGAGGACAGACAGGCAGGAGGACAGAGAGACAGGAGGACAGACAGGAGGACAGACAGGAGGACAGGCAGGCAGGTGGACAGAGAGGCAGGAGGACAGACAGGAGGACAGACAGACTGCAGTATTTACTCACAGTAATGGTGCGTGAGAGCTAAAAGTATAAAAGTACGAGGAGAGTCTGTTTGACCAAATATAAAAATATATTTTGTACATTTTAGTGTTTTAATTTGAAAGGTTTGTTCTTCCTTTCGTTTTAAATGAGCAGCATTTAATAAACCCTGACAGCTTCAGTATCGTCAGACTGATCTGGGTTTAGTGTTTCCTGCAGATGAATACATCAAATCTAATTTAATCTGATGTATCCTAGTCTCCCTCACTGACAATCCATCTGAATAAAAACTGAATACAAAAGAAAACGTAAATGTGGAATATCGCCTCCAGGTGGAGCCTCGTCCCTGGTTGCTGTTTCAGCTGTTCACTGTCAGAGGTTCTCATCAGGTGTGATATTTACTGCACTCCCATGAAGGCATCATGCGGCCCATGTTCACTGCTGTAGGTCACATGACTGACTGAGTTTTCCCCTTCATGCAGTTACCTGACTGCTGTGGGTTATTTTGGGGGAGTGAAATTCTTAGATTCCAGTGGGCGCTCTGTGGCCTCAGGCTTCTCCTCCAGCTGTGGATCACCCAGTGCACCTGATGAAGCCAGATGTCCACAGACAGGACGCTGCCTCCAGACCCTGAGCTGTGGGCTGAGGTCAGCCCGACTGCATGGACACTTTTCCATCAACTTTGATCGACTCACCACAGTTTTCAGGTTTTTTCCATTAGGTCATAGTACTAAAGTAGTAGCTGCTCAGCTGGGGTTCCAAGCAGTCACTAAAATGTGAGCTCGTCAGACTGCATGCCACCGATTGGCTGGTCAGTGGCATCACTTGATGAGTCATGAGAGCATCTTGTTCACAAAAATCTAAACCGCCATTTTTGAAACCCAGCAATGAGGGAAATGTCTCCAAAAACAAGGCTGTGGTCCCCGAGTGTGAGAAAAAGCCTCAGACCGAGCAGCAGCTACATCATCGCCTTGACGTCCACCTTGTTGTGGCGTTCGTGTCACATACCAATTATGCCACAGGACGTTTGGCCCCGTTGGTATAATGACAACAATGTACATTAGGTAGTACTCGAAAGTAATGGAAAACCAGTCGATCGGAGTCAAGTTGATCCAATTGGGAACTAATGGACAAGGAGCCTATCGGAAGCACCGAGGTGACCCTGCAGGAGGCCCGGCTCGTTTTCACTCAGCCCAGGTGCTTAGGCCTGGGTAACCCTGGCCCAAGTGAGGTTATTTGACACATCAGGCCGGGACCAGTTGAGACCCCAGTCTGTGCTCTGTCTCCTACCCCCAAATCAGTCTCTCAGATTGCCCCGCCCCTCTGAGAGGTTTCATCCTATTAAAAAGGAGTTTTTCCTTGTCACTGTCGCCAGGTCTGATTGTTTTTTCTGTATAACTGTAGTCTTACAGAGTCTATACTTACACTATGATAAATATATAAATAAAACCAAATGCATTTTATGAGTTGTGTGCTCTGGATTTTTGTGCCAGACCAACAATTAAAGGCCTCTCGGTCAGGTGTGTCCTGTTACCTGTGGTGCAGGCTTGACAGCGGTGGCCTTCAGGTTCGGGGTCATTGGGGTCAGCTCCATTCCCGGCAGAAGATCATACAACTTCTCCTCTTGCTGCTTGTCTGCCTTCAGCCCGTAGGAGGCACCACCGCCACCCCTCTCCCCATGGCTCCACCCCCAGCAGCGTAGGCCAGGTAGCCCCGCCCACCCAGTCCCCGCACCCCCGCAGCCCCTACAGGTACAGTCATGTAAATTTCTACAGGAAATCGAAAAGGCAGTGAAATCAATCAAATCACCGGAAATCAGCCGTAAGAAGAATCACACAGCCAGACAATTATCTGATCAGAGTGAACAGGTACGGTGGTAACCACGGTAACAGTACACCTGCCCTTCTTCTTCTGATGCTCGTTGACGATTACCGTTTCCTGCCTGATTGAGTTTCAGGTATTTAAATTCATTCAAGCCTGAATTGACAGAAACTTCTCGTGATTCGTGGATCTGTTTTTGATTCCTGCTTCAGAAAAACATTCACACATCATCACGTGTTTGTGATTCAGCTGAACCGCTTCATGACACAGGTGAAATGATGGTTTCTGAGGCCCCGCCTCCAGCCTCTGCACAGCGGCAGGGTTACCTCTGAGACTCTTTAAAGTTGTGCAGGCCCACTGAGACGACTCACTCTGACTGATCTGTGATTGGACAGTCAGCGTTCAGGGGCGGGGCTTCACAAACTCTCAGTTCACCATCAGAAGTCTGTTTGATTTGGAGCTTTCTTTTATGTTTAAAGCGCTGCAGCATAAAACTAAAATCTGAAAGTGCTGATGGATGCAGAGCGAGCTCAGACTCACACAGAAGCACTGAAACGCAGCAGCCTATCAGAGGCAGAGCAGGTTCAAAGCTGAGCCCTGGAGGCTTTTACTCAGAGAAACACAAAGATTTTAAAGTAAATCTGTGGAGCCATCTAATCTCTGACAAGGAGGATTCTGCTTTTTCCTCAGAAATGAACCCTCTCCAGCTCGTAGACTGTGTATAAAAGATGTAGGTGGGGTCATGTGACACGGGGTATGGTAGTGGGACTCAGTAGACTCATTTCCCTTTTAGAGTCGCCCCTTGCTCGCCATTAGAAATAATGTGGACTTGTTTGTTTCTATGAGTCAGCTCTGTGTCTCACATGTGTGTTCTCTGTGGTTAACCAAGCATTAGTCTGTCCCCAGCGCAGCTGTTCAGGTGTTCTGACAGAGGGCCTACCTGCTCCTTCAGTCTGAGAGTGCTTTTATTCTGTAGGTGAGTGCGAGCTGTCTTTGCAGGCATTCAGAGATCACACATGCTCTAAGGGCATCCTCACCTCGGACCGACGGCGTCCGGATCAGCCCTCGACCTCCAACGTTAGCTTTGGCCGCTGGGAAGCGGAACTGAGCTGGTATGGCTGTGTAGGCCTGGGGGGCGTAAAACACCGGCGCACCGAGGTACGCCGCCGAAGGGTCGTACATCTATAGGAGGAGAGAGAAAGATGTGTATTTGTACATTTTAACAGGAAGCAGATACGAGTTTCCTGGAGCACCAGAACGAGGTCTACACTCACAGTTTCAGTGTTTCCTGTCACATCTGCTGTCGTTCACGATAAACATCAAGCTGCTAATAATGAGCTCAGTCTGTGTTCAGTAACCCTGATCTAAGCACTCTTAGATGTTCGGTCATCTCAGGAACACGGAAGCCACACCCACCTGCTGTTCAACCATTCTGTTTGTGAGTGACAGCCAGTCAGAAGGAAATTGTCTTAAAGGGGGAGGAGCTAAAATAGCTTGTTTCAGACAGCAAATGAAGTGAGGGGCTGCACCGAGGCTCAGTATCAGCTACAGAAGGATTATTTTGAGCTGTGGATCATTGAAAGCTGCCCTGAAAGGAGGAATAACTCAGAGTGCCTGTTGGCTTCCTGTTGGTCAAACATTGTGTCACATGACATTCGTCAATAACTCACCTGTCCCAGCGTGTAGGAGGTGTAGTCGGTCTGTAGCAGAGAGCCTCCTCGGCCTCCCGTCCCTCTGGTGTAGCGAACGTAGCTGTCTTTGTCCACCGGCTTGGCCAGCGTCACCTCGATGGGAGAGCCGTCCACCATCTGCAGGAGATCCTGGTCAGTCTTTGAGGCTTTCAGAAACCTTCTCCTCACGGTTAACACACAGGTGTCCACTGATTACAGCATAACAAGCGTAATCAAAACGGATTTTGATTAGTGAAAACAGAGGAAGAACTAAATGTTGGGCCTTGCTGACCTTTCCGTCGAGCGCTTTCATGGCGTTGATGGCGTCCTCTCTCTGAGTGAAATGGACGAAGGCGTAGTCTCTGATCTTCTTCACTCGCTCCACTGCGCCTGCAGCACAAATACAAAAAGTACTTTTCTAAAACCAAATTTCTTTCTGCAGACACTTGTCCTCAAATATAAAATACTTCAAATATTACTTTTAAACGTTTGTCTTTCAAAATCTGCAGTTCAGTTACAAAACGAGCAACAACAAGACGCATTCAGGGACAATCAGAGCTTTGATCGAACCTGGCTTCAGGCTGTTGAACTCCTTCTCGATGGTCTCCTCTGTCGTCTGCAGCATCAGGTTCCTCACATACAGAATCTTCACTGTTGCCATGGTATCCTCGTCAACCTCCACCTCAGGCTCCGCCCAGTCCACAGCGATGGCGTGACCCCACAGCTGGATACGACCTAATAGAGGAGACGGAAACTCGTGATCAAGTCTGGCAGGGATCGTTCTCTTTGTGATCCTCGACTTGTAAACTGCTGGTCTGAAGCCACTCCCCCTCAGCTGAGAAGGAGGAGCTAATTACTGCTATACCTGTTAATTACTGCTGATCAGTAACATCCAAATAAATCCTCTCAAACTGAGCTCAGACATCTTGGACAGTACAGTGACTTCACAGCAGCCATGTTATTGGTCACATGGTGTCAATGAAAATGCTCCAGAGGGCTCCAACAGCACAAACACAGTCCAGAGGAGCAGTTCAGGTGAAGCTGGCAGACAGCTAGCAGCTATAGCCACCTGTGTAACCATCCATCTGTCACTCAAAGAGGCCACGCCCCTAAAAGGTAAAGTTTAAGCCTTAAGGCAATTTAAATAGATGAGTTATGTAAACAGACGTTATGAATGGGAAATTATCTATAAAGACCAAACAGGTTGTAAACACATTTATTTCTGCTGTAAAGGTTTAACATGAGAGTCTATGGGACTGACTCCCTGCTGCCTCTGCTGGACGTCAGAGGAACATGCTGGCTTTATTTTTCTAAAATTACTAGAGCGTGTAATTGTCCTCTGGATGGTTTGTGGTGTTGGGTTCAGGGTCAGAAACCAAGTAAGATGCTAACGAGGCAGACGCTCTTTAACTTCAGCAGGACTCAGTGATGATTGGACGCTATTGGAGGCCAGATTTCAGAGGCACGGTGTCGTGGCTTTCCACCCGCATGATCAGACTTAATGCTGCACAATGAGCCTGATCTTCCTGTGGAGAAGCAGTAAAGCTGTTTCTGTATCTTATCTCTGACACTTTCAGCTTTAGACTCCAGGAGAATCAGATGTTGTGATCACTGTTGTGATCCAAGATGGCGCCGCGTATGGATGCCCCGGTGCTTCAGTGCGTTACTTCTGTTTTGTTTTTGTGCATAACTTCTGTGTCTGGGCACTCCTCTGGATATTCTTACACCAGAGAAGAGCTTCTTAACTACAGGACTACAACACCTGTGGATTTACTTCCAATATTTGTCGCATCTGCGGCAGATTTACTGCAGACTCTGATCAGGAAAGAGAGACGCCGAAAGAGAGGTAAGCGAGCCGGCGCACTCGTGCGTCTGAGGAGACGTGGACTGCGAACTGCTCTTCCTGGGATCTTCCTTTCCAATGTACGCTCACTCAGGAATAAAATAGACGAACTGGCCCTGATGAGAAGCATGAACAGAGACTTTGCCTCCTCCTGTGTCTTATGTTTTACGGAGTCGTGGCTCTGTGAGGACATCCCGGACTGCGCGCTCAAGCTGGAGGGCTTTCATCTGCTGCGCGCGGACCGGCAGGCCTCTCTCTCTGGTAAGACCACAGGTGGAGGTGTCTGCTTCTACATTAATAGTGGCTGGTGCACAGATGTAACAGTGATTGCTCAGCACTGCTCTTCCTCTCTGGAATACCTTTTTATTCACTGCAAACCGTTTTATTTTCCGCGGGAGTTTGCTTCATTCATCTTGGCCGCTGTTTACATCCCGCCAGATGCGGATGCGCAGGCAGCTCAGTGCGCACTCGCGGAGCAGATACTGCACATGGAGCGGACATTCCCGGACTCTCTCATCATTGCTCTTGGGGACTTTAACAAAGCCAATCTGAGCCATGAGCTTCACAAATACAAGCAGTATATTAAATGCCCGACCAGAGACCACTGTTACAGCACGATCAGCGGGGCCTATCGCGCGGTGCCCCGCGCTTCACTCGGACTTTCTGACCACGTCATGATCCACCTAATCCCCGCGTACAGACAGAGGCTGAAACTCTCCAAACCTTTTTTTTTTTTTTTTTTTTTTTTTTAAATGACATCAGAAACAGCAGTATGCGACATTACGTGATGGCAGAGCTTCAGTTCATCCTTTGTCATTTTTTTTTTTTTTTTTTTTTTTAATAAATAGGACAGGGGGAATGAATGAGAGAGAGAGGGGGAGAGAAAGAAAGAAAACCAAAGGGGAGAAGAGACGGTGAGAAGGGGGGGGAAGAGAGAGAAAAAAAAAAGAACTCCTGGGTCACCTGTATGGAGAAAAAAAACAAACAAACAAACAAAAACAAACAGAGGAGACAGCAAACAACAAAGAGCAACATAATAATAGAGAAAACAAAGCACCATCACAATAAACTAGCTAGTCATAGATATCAGTATTTACTAAATAATAAACGATATTGTGCAGCACGCAAGATAGACAGCGCACAGTGTGCTTTGAGGCAGCAGCCAGGAAAGCTTTAGTCCGCGTCTGTGAATACCCATGTGTGCATACCTGTGTGGATCAGCATGCTTGCATTCCAAAGGTTTCTCCATGTAATGATCTGCTAGGGAGTGTGGGGGGGCCACAGCCCCGTCCTCCAGGGTGTGAAGCGGGTATGGAGGAGATCAAAACTCCAGACATCCAGAGGCCCCCAGAACACAAGAGACCATGGAAGACCAACAGAGGGGCAGCCGCGCCACTGTCCCAGTAAGAGCTGAGGAGAGTCCCAGATGAGGGCTCGCCCAGCAGCCGCGGAGCAGAAGTCAGGGGGAGTTGCAGTGACGCGCCCGTGAGCTCCGCCGGCCCCCAGCTGCGCCTGAGTGACCGAGCCCTAGGCCGAGAGGCCGGGGCACCCCACCTCCAAAGGGGCCCGAGCGAGCCCCAGGCCCCAGGCCCCGACAAGCGGCCGCCAAGGAGTGAGCCGGTGTGTACCCGGACGCCCACCCCCAGACACAAAGAACCACCAACACACCGACACCTGAGGGAGTCCGCCACCGGCAGGGGAAGTGGTGGTGGGTGGAGCTCTCCAAACCTGTCGTGAGGACCAAAAAACTGTGGAGCAACGAGGCTGTGGAGGAGCTTCGCACGTGTTTGGAGTCTACAGACTGGGACACAATGAAGGCTGCTTCTAACAGCTTGGACGAGTTTACGGACACTGTCACCTCCTATATCCACTTCTGTGAGGACAGCATTGTGCCATCACGCACCAGGGTGAGTTATAACAATGACAAACCCTGGTTTACTCCTAAACTCAAAAAGCTGTGGCTGGAAAAGAGTAAGGCGTTCAGAAGCGGAGACAGGGACTGCTACAGAGAGGCCAAGTACAGGTTCACTAAAGAAGTGGACATTGCTAAACATCAGCACTCTGAGGAGATGCAGCAGCAGATCTCAGAGAATGACTCGGCCTCTGTGTGGAAAGGTTTTAGGAATATCACAAACTACAAGCCTAAAACCCCCCACTCCACTGATGACTTGCTCTTAGCCAACACCCTCAACGACTTCTACTGCCGTTTAGACGAGCCATCAGGCAGCCTTCACACCTCCAACGGCCCCAACAATAGAGGCACTTTGGACACTCATTCCCCCACCTCTCCCCCCTCCATAGAGCTATCACCACCTTCAAACCGTTCACCTACAACACCCCCCTCCTCACCCCACACAAAAGAGGATTTCACACCACCTCCTCCCACCACAACTCTTCATATTCATGAAGCAGATGTGAGGAAGCAGTTTAAGAACCTGAATGCTCGGAAAGCTCCCGGCCCAGACGGTGTGTCTCCTGCCACCCTCAGACACTGTGCAAACGAGCTGGCCCCAGTGTTTTCTGGCATCTTCAACTCCTCACTGCAGGCATGTCATGTGCCTGCCTGCTTCAAGTCCTCTACCATAATCCCTGTCCCCAAGAAACCTAGGATCACTGGACTAAATGACTACAGACCCGTGGCTCTGACATCTGTGGTCATGAAGTCATTTGAGCGCCTAGTTCTCTCCCATCTCAAGACCCTCACGGCCCCCCTCCTGGACCCCCTGTAGTTTGCATACAGAGCCAACAGGTCTGTAGACGACGCCATCAACATGGCCCTACACTTCATCCTGCAGCATCTGGACTCCCCAGGAACCTACGCCAGGATCCTGTTTGTGGACTTCAGCTCTGCCTTCAACACCATCCTTCCAGACCATCTCCGAGACAAGCTTTCCCAGATGAATGTGCCTGATCCCATCTGCCGGTGGATCACTGACTTCCTGACGGACAGGAAGCAGCATGTGAGGCTGGGAAAGAATGTCTCGGACTCCCGGACCATCAGCACCGGCTCCCCTCAGGGCTGTGTTCTTTCTCCTCTGCTCTTCTCCCTGTACACCAACTGCTGCACCTCCACCCACCAGTCTGTCAAGCTAATCAAGTTTGCAGATGACACCACCGTCATTGGGCTCATCTCGGACGGGGATGAGTCTGCCTACAGGAGGGAGGTTGAACGTCTGGTGTCCTGGTGCAGCCACAACAACCTGGTGCTGAATGCCCAGAAGACAGTGGAGATTATTGTGGACTTCAGGAAGCACACAGCCCCCCCCCCCCCCCCCCCCCCCATCATCCTGACTGACACCCCCATCAACTCTGTGGACTCATTCCGCTTCCTGGGTACCACCATCACCCAGGACCTGAAGTGGGAGCCCACCATCACCTCCGTCATTAAGAAAGCCCAGCAGAGGATGTACTTCCTGAGGCAGCTGAAGAAATTCAACCTGCCAACACGGACGATGATGCAATTCTACACTGCAATCATCGAGTCCATCCTCACCTCCTCCATCACCGTGTGGTACGCTGGAGCCACTATCAGGGACAAACAGAGACTGCAGCGTGTTGTGCGCTCTGCTGAGAAGGTGATTGGCTGCAGACTCCCATCTCTGCAGGACCTGTACACCTCCAGGACACTGCGGCGTGCAGCTCGGATCTCAGCTGACCCTTCTCACCCTGGACACAGTCTGTTTGACCTGCTCCCCTCAGGCAGGAGGCTCCGGTCCATTCGCACCAGAACCTCTCGCCATAAGAACAGTTTCTTCCCCTCTGCTGTTGGACACATGAACAATAACCGTATGACTGTTCCCACCACTAACACATGACCCTACGCTGTGTTCACTGCATCATTCCATGTTTGGCACTGATCACCACCTGCACTCATGTATATATCATGTATATATCTATCTACTTAGCACTTTTAATTCTTATTCTCATTTTTATTTTCATGTCTATTTAAGCTTAATTTATAACAGTATTTATGACAGTATGTTTGCACTGAAGTACCGCAGCAATTTCCTAATGTTGTAAACCCGCTCAACATTTGGCAATAAAACCCTTTCTGATTCTGATTCTGAGAATCAGATAGTGTAACAAACCAACAGCTTTGGGTATATTTATGGGTCTATCTGAAACTCACATTCACATTACTCATACAGCAGTTATCTTATCATTAAGCCCATCCAAGCTCTTCTTCTATTGGACATTGTGTCACAGGCTGTGATTGGCCAGTGATGATGCAGCCTTACAGCCAGCCAAAAAGAGACTTTGGCATTTTTTATTATGTTAGGTTTACTTTACGAGGTATTAGACAGTGTGAAGCCGGGTGGAGAGCTACAGCTGAACTATAAATTATAAATTTATTCATGAGGCCCTCATGTGGCCGCCTAAGGAAAATTAACTGCCCAATGCCGGTGTCAAGGATTTGTTAGCTAAACCACTGCAGCTGCAGCTGCTCAGTGTCTCCAGCACCACAGGAAGTTGGCACCAGCTGATCATCAGAGCCTTCGAGTTTTAGGGGATAACTGAACCCGTTTTAACAGATCCTTTGAAAACATCTTATTTTTGTTCTTCAGTGAATCGTTCCTGAAGTCAGAGCGGGAATTATAACTGTACATTAGCTAAGTTTGAGTTTGGTTTGGTACCTGGCAGCAGTTTGCGACGGGCCATGGCAGCTGCTCGGTGGCTCTCATACTCGACAAAAGCAAAGCCTCTGTTCTTGGATTTGTCGGCGGCGCTGGGGTACACGATGACATCGACGACGCCGTCGGTGACCTTCTTCATCTCTGACAGGATCTCCTCTCGCTTCTTGGTTTTGGGAATCCCGCCAACAAAGAGGCGGCAGTTATCGACGCTGGCACAAACGCCGAGGAGGCGTCCGTTCCTGTGGGCCAGAGAAAGATTTGGTTCAAGCTCAAACGGGAACCCAGCTGGCTAAGGTTGCTTTGTTAGGTCTTTGCTGATTGGCACTTGGGTGTTTCTATGTTTGTACTGGACTGTGACCACAACCCAGGACTTTGGGTTTATTTGTTAAGGGGTTTTTTTTGTGTTAAAAGCACTCGAGTACCTGCACCATCTGTTTCCCCGGTGTAATGCTCCCAGTCTATTTTGAGATAAAGAAGCTCTCCTTGCTCTCCTGCTTCCTGCCTGTTCACTGTATCGGCTGACTTGTCATGAACATTTGAATTTTGGACTTGTATCTGCTCTGGTTTCCTCTCCTCTGGACCATTACGTAGTTTGGGTGTTTCTGGTAGATTGGTAGAATAATTTGCGTTACGTCACTGGCAGGGTTAAAGGTCGTAGGGTTGGGTGTTTGGTTAGTGGGTCATAGAAGGTTAGTTGGTCAGTTGATAGGCTGCAGGTCAGGGGTGGGGAACTCCGGCCTTAAGGGCCAGGGTCCTGCAGGTTTTAGATGTGTCCTTGATCCAACACAGCAGATTTAAATGTCTAAATGACCTCCTCAACATGTCTTGAAGTTCTCCAGAGGCCTGGTAATGAACTAATCATGTGATTCAGGTCTGTTGACCCAGGGTGAGATCTAAAACTGGCAGGACACCAACCCTTGGGGTTCCCCACCCTTGCTGTAGGGGGATGGCCGGCTGGTAGAGTGATGGTAGGTGGGTACTGCTAGTCTGTACTAGAGATGGACCGATCCGATATTACGTATCGGTATCGGTCCGATACTGACCTAAATGACTGGATCGGATATCGGAGAAAAATAAAAAATGTAATCCGATCCATTAAATATCACGAAAGCACCTCACAAAACTTGCAACACGCCGTAACTCACCTCAGAACGTTAGCACGTCGGAGCAGTATGCATCACGTGATAGAGCGGCGGTGGCATGCAGGACCTGTGGTCTGGATAGCATGTGGAGCTTCGCTAGCAACCTGGCATTTCATCTCCGACAAAGTTATCCCCGAGAGAAGTAAAGCAAGTGTGTAAGTCCATCTCTGAATGTTTGTAAAGCATTCCTGCGTTAAGCTTAACAAGCGACTGCCTCTCGCTCTCCGGCTGCTACTTCAATCATGAAACTGCTTAACGATCAGCTGATCGGCTTTTCGAGTCCGTCTTTGTTTTTGGTCCACTTTGCACCAGAAAGAGGAAACCAGCGGCTGAACAACAGCAGCACGTTTAAGCTTGATCAGCTGTTGTTAGAATTTATTTAATATTACTTTCTACTCGAGGATCTTTTTCTACGTAGCTGACGCTGGTAACTGTGCAGGGGCGGATCTAGCAAAGTTTAGCCAGGGGGGCCGATAGGGCATTAACTGGGAAAAGGGGGCACAAAGACATACTTTTCTTTCTTATTCTCATTTAAAATGTCTAGCTTTTAATAAATAATTATCTGACACCAACCCGTTCTCACTCCCAAAGCGTAACATTTTACGCTAGGTGACAAATCGTCACCATATTACGTTTTCGGCTACCCACCACGTTCCTAAATGACGACCTCGGAAAAAGAGGAAATATGAGAACCGTCTGGACTGAACCTACACATGTTCGCTCTTTTTCTTCAAATCGCTTAGAAACACGCTATTTAACATCATTAAAGTCCTGGTTATGGTCTGGAATAAGGTTATGGTTAGGGCTAGGGATAAGGTTAGGTTTAGGGCTGGAATACAGGGCTGGAACGTCTATTACCGCGGGAGCGTCATTGCACTGGATTCCAGCCATAACCCACCGCGTACCATAAGAACGCCGAAGGTCTCCTTTCGCGTTCCTCAGGAACGCCGCGGGACGTGACAAAACGTCGACATGTTACGCCTCGGGAGTGAGAACGCTCTGCTGACACACAAAGTTTTAATTTGATGTAAAATGAATAGAAGTCAATTACTGTATATAGTAACTATTACGTCTAATATATATACCCTAGTAAGCTATAGTACTTTTTCCTTTGGGAAGGTACCATCTGTGCAGTCTGCAATTTTGTTGAAGAAAGATGTTGAATCTATTTAATATTTCTTGAAAAATAATTGATTTCTGTGCATTTTTTTTCACACTGCATCAAATTAAGGTTGATTACGTCGATTAAGCATCATGAGGTGGAGCGTGAGGGGTGGTTCCCTATTTTTTATTTTTTTTTTTGTTGTTGCTGGGAGTTGGAACACTATTAGTTAGGTTGCTTAATATTTACGCTAAGTACTCTTTAAAATACCAGAATAGGGAGGATGGTGTAGGTTTAAGTTTATTAGATTGATCAGTATTGCTGAACTATGAAATATTTTTTTTGTATACAGGTATAACAGAATAGCTTTAGTGTAGTTGTTGTTTTAAACTTGAGTATGAACTTATACAAAATGCAGCAAGATATTTAAAAAACAGTTTTGTTGATTAAAAAACACTATATCGGATTCATATCGGTATCGGCAGATATCCAAATTTATGATATCGGTATCGGTATCGGACATAAAAAAGTGGTATCGTGCCATCTCTAGTCTGTACCGATGTTAATTAATGATTCTCTCAACAAGGCAGTCACCAATGAGGAATCAGAACCAGGCTGGACTCCCAGGTTTGACTAGTCGCCTGACTGGTTTGACTCTGGCTGTTGTAACTAAAGACTTATATGAGCTGAAGTCAGGTGAGGCATGACTCTTGAACCACCTGTGCTCCACATTCAGGAGAAGGTGCTCATATTAAAGATGGCATTACCTTGGCCTCCAGTAACGCTGTGAGGAACCTTGGAGTCATTTTTGACCAGGACATGTCCTTCAATGCACATATTAAACAAATATGTAAGACTGCTTTCTTCCATTTGTGCAACATCTCTAAAGTTAGAAATATCCTGTCTCAGAGTGACGCTGAAAAACTAGTTCATGCATTTATTACTTCCAGGCTGGACGACTGTAATTCATTATTATCAGGAAGTCCTAAAAACTCCCTGAAAAGCCTTCAGCTAATCCAAAATGCTGCAGCAAGAGTCCTAACAGGGACTAGAAAGAGAGAGCATATTTCTCCTGTTTTGGCTTCCTGTTAAATCCAGAATTCAAAATCCTGCTCCTCACATACAAGGTCTTAAATAATCAGGCCCCATCTTATCTTAATGACCTTGTAGTACCATATCACCCTATTAGAGCACTTCGCTCTCGCTCTGCAGGCCTACTTGTTGTTCCTAGAGTATTTAAAAGTAGAATGGGAGGCAGAGCCTTCAGTTTTCAGGCCCCTCTTCTGTGGAACCAGCTTCCAGTTTGGATTCAGGAGACAGACACTATCTCTACTTTCAAGATTAGGTTTCAAACTTTCCTTTTTGCTAAAGCATATAGTTAGGGCTGGACCAGGTGACCCTGAATCCTCCCTTAGTTATGCTGCAATAGACGTAGGCTGCTGGGGATTCCCATGATGCATTGAGTTTTTCCTTTCCAGTCACCTTTCTCACTCACTATGTATTAACAGACCTCTCTGCATTGAATCATATCTGTTATTAATCTCTGTCTCTCTTCCACAGCATGTCTTTATCCTGTCTTCCTTCTCTCTCCCCAACCAATCACAGCAGATGGCCCCGCCCCTCCCTGAGCCTGGTTCTGCCGGAGGTTTCTTCCTGTTAAAAGGGAGTTTTTCCTTCCCACTGTCGCCAAAGTGCTGCTCATAGGGGGTCATATGATTGTTGGGTTTTTCTCTGTACCTATGAAGCGCCTTGAGGCGACTTTTGTTGTGATTTGGCGCTATATAAATAAAATTGAATTGAATTAAAGATGCCTGCTGGTCAGGTTGTTTGGGTACTCAGTGCTTCTTAGTTTGCTGCTCCATTATGTTTGCAGTTGTGAACTGTTACTAGAAAAATAACTCTAACATTTCTTTGACAGTGACTGAAAGAAAGTAGACCTGAAGCCTGCCGATGTGTTTCTGAGAGCTCAGTTATCCTGTCATTATTCAGTACAAATGAAGATAAGAGAGGGATCACCTAATCTCATAGTTGTTGAGCTGCTTCATGGCAGCCCTGGCCTCCTGTTTGTTGCTGAAGGTGACAAAGGCGTATCCTCTGTTGTTCCCGTTGAAGTCCATCATCATCCTCACCTCGTAGATCTTTCCAAACTGAAGAGATGGAGAGGGAAGCACCCACAGATGAAACAACACCCCCAGATAGATCACAGTGACCGCATCCTTAACCGTGGTTCCCTGACCTTCTCACACAGCGGAACCAGCTCATCTTCAAACAGATCTCTCGGCAATTTCCCCACAAAGATCTCGCTGCCCCTCTCCGGTGGGGGGCCGTCCCAGCCTGGAGGCGGGCCGCCGTACCGCCGCTGACCGTTCTCCTGAAGCGCCAGCAGGAAAACATGAAAAGCAATCAGGAGCAGTAACAGACACGTGCTGCTGTCTCCTGGGTCTGAGGGGCCACGTACCTGGCGCAGCTGGTATCCGGTTCGCTGCATGAGTGAACGAAGCGCCGCCTCCTTCTGCGTCCCCGCCAGTCCGTCCCCGCTTGCTTTCTGATTGGAATCCATTGGGTGTGATTGACAGCGATATGTAAATCAGGGAAATTAGCGGTGCTCACTGGAAGACAATAACAGCAAAGGTGTTATTATGAGTGCAAACAGCTGTGAACCTGTCCGCCTGCACGTGTCATCCAATAATGTGCCGGAGTATTGCACAGAATACAGTCACACCTGTTTGAATGCAAATCACTGCAAGCTTCAGACCGTAACATGTTTGAGGGACGTTAAATGTTCATTTGATGCCGTGCTGATGGTTTTATTGCACACTGAAAGTGACCGGACTCACTGAGTCCCTGAGCTGGACCTCTGCACATCTATACGAAGCTGCTTTAGATCCATTTACGTGCGGACGCTGACGGGGGAAACGCTGGGTGGTTTCAGCAGCTTTTGTCACTGACGTGGTCGAACAGCAGTCGAGGAGGACCTGCTGGTCTGAACGGCATACACGAGTCGTGTTTTGAAGAGCGCTGCAGCGAGGTCAAGGTCTGCTCGGTAATCATTGACAGAGACTGTGGAAAGCTGCAGGCTGGAAGCCCGTCTCACTGTAACACTGAGAGGAAACATGCGAGGCTTCAAATGTGAAGCCAGCACATTTATAAATCCTGTGTTTCATGAATGAATCACACACTCCTCTCTAACGAACCTCAAACCTGAACTCTCTAACCACAGCCTGGGCCAGAAAATGGTCCCAGTCCTCCCAGTTTGGGAATGAGACGAAGGCAAAAACAAACAGTTGTTCTGTGTATCTGTCTCTTTATTTACAGGAACCACAGGACAGCACACAGTCAGCCGATGATGTAGAGACAGAGAACAACCTTGTGGACTTTGGCTGATGCTGCTGGGTTTATGATGAATGTACTGACACAATTTTAAGGGTCAGTTATTTAAATGATTGAATTATAAATATCTCTATTTATAAAGCATTACACAGCGAACAAACCATCATCTGTTAGCAGTGCTTGGCGACAGCAGGGAGGAAGAATGCCCCTTTACTATGAAGACCTAGAACGTTCAGCCACTCATCAGTAATGACTACATGTCATTTAGATATTTCCAAGCACAAGAACATCTGTCGCTGTCGTGGAAATATGGGAACAATGAGAGCGTTTGGAGTTTAGGTTCAAAACGATGTTTGAACCAGCGCGTTACAGTGCGCCGCCATCCGTTCAATCTGACACGCTCATGCTCGCGGGCATCTCATGATTGCACAGCTGCACTGTCAAGCATGTGGACCTCGTGAGCCAGCTACATGATAAGTCGGACTTCCTTAACCACCTCCAGATTCTGATCCTCTTTAAGTTCACGATCAAATAAACCCAGAAGCATCACTGAGAGTCCAAAGTGCAGAGAGGATGTTCTCGCAGGTGGTGCAATAAGGTTTAACGTCCAGACAAAAACAATATAGCTCAGTTAGCAGTTAGCAGGAAGTTAGCTTGCTAGTTTCCATGTAAAGGTGATACTCCACGTTCTGACTGAAGAACCTGGGACAGAAACACAGACTGAAAACTAAACAGCAGCGAGGTTGGAGGGTTAGTGAAGCTAGGCTAGCTGACAGGTGGAGATGTAAACACATGAGCACAGAAAGATGGAGGACCAGGGTTAAACTGTCCCCAATGAAAGTTCACATTGAGACAATCGCCATCACATGACAGCAAGAAGCCACCAAAAAGAGAATGTCTGGGGTGATCGGTCCACAGCAGGGGTCAGAGGTCAGGTCGCTGTTAAAGTCCTGATCCTCGGCTGCTGCAGCTACAGCGCTCAGTACATTTATGACACCAGTGTCAGGTTCATGAATTATTACAGTGAATCCTCGAGTGTGCGCTTTAATCACTGTGATATTTTCAATAGTAACATATGATCATTGTTGTTATTATTTTTATTCAGAATCGCAGTTTTAGTTTTTGTGGTCAAAGTCCTGTTTGCCCGTTAATATAAATGTACGTTTTTAACAGGTTTTTGACAAATGGTAAATGGCCTGTATTTGTATAGCACTTAGTCCCTATGGACCCCAAAGCGTGTTACACTACATTCAGTCATCCACCCATTCACACACCGTGATGGCAGGTACACTGTAGCCACAGCTGCCCCGGGTGCACTGACAGAGGCCACAGTGTAAGACAAATTTCTAAAATATTTGTGTTCTCTTGTTTCTACGACAGCTCAAAGTCTCACGCTGCATCAGAATAATGGTGATAAAAAGCTGAGCACAAAATTGTTTCATTAAAAAAAGGAGAGACAGACACGAGCACAGAGACGCCCTCTCCTCTGCAGGAGGGGTGGCTCTGTCCTCGGCCTTTATCAAACTGCCCTCCAGTTTGGGCGTTGCCTGTGTGTGCTCTGATCTTTGACGGGGGCTGTGACCTCAGAGCGCTCCCCAGCTCTGGGTCCCAAACTCCTGAAAATCAAAGCTCTTTAAGCACAGAACAACTCGTACTGGACATCAGCTGTTGGTGGGAGTCACGCTCAGTGTTCGTCCGATTGTGTCTGGGAGCTCTGTGAACACACAAGGAAGTTTAGGGTGAGCTGAGAGTCAGCGCGTGGAAAAACATCAGCTGGACTCAGTCACCTGCTGCTGAGATCCACCAATCAGCACGGCTGACAGAGGGGCGTTTGGCTGGCAAACAGAGCTGATGCCTAAAGAGATCTGCGTTTCTTCAGCTGGTCATGAATCTGTTGACATTTTCAGTTTTTCAATCAAAAAACACGTTTGAATTTTTATCCAGTCAGACACAGAGAGAGCAGAGGCCACAGCTGTGAGTATGGAAGCCCATCAGCGCCCAGAACTTAATGACAGGCTCCATAAAACCTTCATTACTTAAAACTTCAGCCAGTCAGAATGAGTTACACGATGCATCGCAGTCATGTTTAGGTAAGCTGGTGTGTTGCATCTTTATAAATACATCCTGACAGAATGAGACAAAAAATAACACGAGCATGCGTTCTGTGATATGATATCAAAACATTTTATATTGAAATCGTTCAACATTCATGTGGAAGTTCAAATTTCAGGGTAGAAGATCAAAATAATGTCAAAATACATGGATTCAATAAAAAAAACGATACAACTAAATTGTCTTAAAATATAATGTAACCTATAATTAAATATGTGTATACATTTATAACAACTGTGTAAAAATATGACATATTAATATAAATACCAACAAAGTATCAGTTAAAGGTAAAAAAAATTAACCTCAATTAAAATGTAATGTTGTTCAAAATGATGAAAGAATAAATGAAAGACTTACAGCCCCACAGTCATGACCTCCATCTTCTCCTACAAATCCCAGCATGCCTTTCAGCAAATCTGCCTTATCAGCCTGTGTGAGCTGCAGCTCGCTCTCAGAGTAATCTCTGCTGCTGCACTGGTTAACCTTTCCCCACGTTTCAACCACTACAGCCACGTCTGCACAGTCACATCTGCACAGTCACATCTGCAAATCTGTGTCTGCACATCTGCACAGTCACATCTGCAAATCTGTGTCTGCACATCTGCACAGTCACATCTGCATAGTCACATCTGCAAATCTGCGTCTGCACATCTGCACAGTCACATCTGCAAATCTGTGTCTGCACATCTGCACAGTCACATCTGCAAATCTGTGTCTGCACATCTGCACAGTCACATCTGCAAATCTGTGTCTGCACATCTGCACAGTCACATCTGCAAATCTGCGTCTGCACATCTGCACAGTCACATCTGCAAATCTGTGTCTGCACATCTGCACAGTCACAACTGCACAGTCACATCTGCGCAGTCACATCTGCACAGGTGACCCGTTGAAGACCACGGTGTGTGTTTGAGGCAGCAAACAAGCTGCAGTGTTTATGCTCTGTTCTGAAAAGTTGACCTTTGACCCTAACTCCAGTGTGGGTCACACAGCTGCAGCTGTGATAAACACCAGGAACATAAGATGTTTTTTTCCAGCTGACCGCAGCACTGGATGAAAACAAACTACTTCCTGTCCTGTTAAACGCCGCAGCTCGCTCTTAGACTGTGTTTCCTGCCTGTCTTCAAATTAAAAGTCCGAGCAGTGACCTGGGTGAAGCACTGCACTGAGTTTATGAAGGTAGGCGTCATTTTCCTGTAAACATTTCAGTGATGTGTGACGTCAGAGGTCAAATGTTCTGACTTTGTGAACAATAACTGAATTTAATCTGTGGATAAAAATCGATTTCAAAGGTAATAATCACATAAAATATTCCTACTCTGGTCTTAAAGATCACATTTAAGTAAACAGAAGTTTAGACGCCAGCACTACGTCCTGATTGGATCCTGATGAGCACCTCGCTCGTTTCCACTCAGATCTTTTTAATGTCCTGGTGACCTTCAAAGTGAAATGAATAACTACTCGCTGCTGATTCACGGTGGCTGACTTTACAGACGGAGTATTTTCCTGTTTTGAAACTGGAGGAGTTGATGAGTGACAGGTGGATCTACCGGTCACAGGTAGCCCCGCCCTCCTCCTCCTTCCTGTTCCTCTCAGACTCTGACGGGACCAAAATCGAAAAATACTCTAAAATACACTTCCTGTTTTCTTCAGTCTGACCTGAAAGTAGTGACTGAACCCAGATCAGCCGAGAAGGACGCTCATTTTCTCATAGACTTCTATACAGTCAGAGTTTAGAGGAGTCGCCCCCTGCTGGGCATTAGGAGCAATGCAGGTTTAATGCGCTATAGCAGTTTCCATCTTTATACACAGTCAATTACAATACAAAAAAATTAAACTCTGGCTAAATGTGGCTCTAGCTCCTGATTAATTACTGGATTATGATAATACTAAGTTACAGTTCAGCTTCTGTTTGGATTAAACTGAGTAGTAAATATGTTACTTTAAGCTTTTTCTGTATAAATGTGGGACTTCACGGAGCAGGAGTCTTTTCTTTTTAACCTTGAAACCCAAAGCAGACAGAAACTCGACTCTGTGCTTGTTTGTGTTTATTTCTGATGTTTTTATGGGTCGAGAGACACTCGCTCACATTCTCTCTTTTTTCACACAGCGGTAGGGAGACATTTACTTAGCACTCTCGCTCTCTCCATTAAAACACCCATTAACCCCGGCCGGCCTGTTTGCTCAGCTAGCTGCTTTTAGCCTCTGTGACAGCTACTGTTCACCAGACACCAGCAAAGAAGAGAGGAAGAACGACCCTCACTTTACCTGTTCACACTTTCTCTCTCTCTGTGTATATTTAAAATATAAAATTCAAACCTAAAAAACTTTATTTGCATGAAAGAGAGACAAAAACTCACCTGAGCAATTTCAGAGATCACCTCCCTCCGATCAGAGCTGTGTCATTCTGAGCGCCGAGTGTGTGTTCACGTGTCATCAGGGGCCTCTGTGTGTGTGTGTGTGTGTGTGTGTGTGTGTGTGTGTGTGTGTCTGTGTGATCACATCATATCAAACTCCAAAGGTTCACTGTCTTCGTGTTGGCTTTACAAGCTGCCCAGCGTTAATGTTTAACCCGCTGCTATCTGTGGAGACACACACACATGCATGCAAATATAGACACACACACACATACTTGTGGAGTGTCCTGCAAATGTCTCTTCACAGCACACAAACATGTGGTCAGGTTTTTAACCCAGGGCCTAAAACCTGGTCCTGGTTCTGACTCAGACCTCGGCTGCAGGCCTGAACCCTGCAGTTCTTCTGACGTCCACTAGAGGCCCAACGCTGCCTCTACTAAACACTAAACATGTTAAAAACTATGGAGGAGCAGGAGAGTCACACAATGATTATTAAATAACTACATTTTTAAAAAAAAAATCCAAAATCATTTTCAAAATCTGTTTGTTTATTTTTTAAATTTTTTTTTTAATGTAATAAAAATAAGTAAATAGACATAAAAATTTAACATGGAACATAAATTGTTTTGTCTTTTGACATTTAAAATGCTCATTGTACTCCTTGAACTAGCAGCTACTGGACTAGCTTCTTCATTTAGCTATCGGTAAGTCGTTATGTCCTTACAGCAACAGTTTGAGAACTGTTTGGACATTTGCACATTTACCTCGACGTTCCCTGTCTTAAAATGTCCAGCATGGATATATGACGAACATGAAGGCACTCTGCAGTGAAACGGAGGCCCCATTCTCCAAGTGTGCATCTGATTCACCTGATAAAGGTGAGGAATGCTAGTGTTATCCACGCTAGCATAGCTAACACTAGCATAGCTAACACTAGAATAGCTAACACTAGCATGGCTCCCACTAGCCTGGTCACAGCAGATGGCCCCGCCCCTCCCTGAGCCTGTTTCTGTTGGAGGTTTCTTCCTGTGAAAAGGGAGTTTTTCCTTCCCACTGTCGCCAAAGTGCTTGTGTAACATAGTTAAATAGAGTCGAAGTTAAATCCCCCTAAATGGGACATTGGCACCAACCTACTGTTGTCACCCTGCAACATTCACAAAGGGCAAGGGATTCTGGGTAATCCTGAGAATAATGGAGGATTCCTGCGAGGTAAGGAATGCGCAAATGTCGTGGGGAAGAAAAATCATATCGCTGGTTGTAACGGTAATACAAGCTGACCCGATTATTTTTGTTGTTTAAACATCATTTGTTGCGGGTCATTTCTCATGTGCTTATGTTGAATTGAATGCACGTTTATGTGAGATTTCTTTTTTTGGGAAGAGAGGAAAAAAATGGGAGCACAGTTAGCTAACTCTGTTGTTGCCTTTCCATTTAGATCTTACGCTGATTGTCCACGACAATAAAAGAAAGCATTCTAACTTGTTGCCTTTTTGTTGTGAATGCAGGTATGTGACTGTGCCACACTGTTTAGAGTACACATTGTTTTATGCACAGTTCTGAAATATATTTCTGTATTCCTTTCATTTGGGAAATTTAAGATGGAGATTAATTGTGTTGAGGTTCTTCTATTTTGTTTGTATAATTTTACCACTATATGGGCACACTGCAAGTGGAAACGTAATCCTCAGAATAATGGAGGATTCCTGCGAGATCTTACGCTGATTGTCCACGACAATAAAAGAAAGCATTCTAACTTGTTTTGTGATCTTGTTGGTCAGCGTTGGTTTTCTCCTTGGAGTCTCCCATGGAGGCCATTTTTGCCCAGCCTCTTTTTTATTGTTCATCGTGACCTCTGACTTTAACTGAGCTGCATGAGGCCTGCAGGTCTTTGGATGTTGTTTTAGGGTCTTCTGTGACCTCCTGGATAATTTTGGCCAGCCGGTCGCTCCTGGGAAGGTTCGGCACCGTTCCAGGTTTTCTCCATGTGTGGATAACGGTTCTCACTGAGGTTTACTGGAGTCCCAAAGTTAAAGTTAAAAGTTAAAGTTTAATTATTTATATAGCACATTTAATTACAACAGGAGCGTTGACCAAAGTGCTGTACAAGAATACAACATACATAATAAAACAACTTAGAGTATTAAAAGCAAACACCAAATATGAATTAACAAATAACAAATAACTCTCATGCTGTATTAAAAGCCAGTAAATAAAAATGTGTTTTAAGATAAGATTTAAAAAGATTGACAGTAGGAGCCTGTCTGATGTGTAGGGGTAAATTACTCCACAGCTTAGGTGCTGCGACTGCAAATGCTCGATCACCTCTATGAACCAGCCTCGACCTTGGTACAGCTAAAAGCAAAAGATCACTTGATCTAAGAGATCTAAGGGGGGTATAAGTCTGCAAGAGCTCAGACAAATACCCGGGAGCCTGTCCATTCAGGGCTTTGTAGGTCAACAAAAATGTTAAAGTTAATTCCGAAGTGGACAGGGAGCCAATGGAGAGAGGCGAGCACCGGGGAAATGTGTTCACATCCTTTAGTACGTGTCAGAAGATGAGCTGCAGCATTCTGGACCAACTGCAGCCTTGCCAGGCAGGTCTGGCTGACTCCAGCATATAAGGAGTTACAATAGTCCAGCTGGGATATAATGAAAGCATGAATCGCTCGTTCAAAGTTTTTAAAAGATAAAAATGATCACCTTAGATAAAAGGCTCAGTTTGAAGAAGGACCGCTGTACGACTGAGCTAATTTGTTTTTCAAAGGTGAAACGTCAGAAATGTCTCTGTAACCTTTCAGTCTGAAAAAGTTGAGTCCATGAGGAAACCTTCTGACTGAAAACAAACGTGTCTGAGGATTCAGCTGATCGACGCTCCCAGCAGTCGGCGTTAGGTTTGGTAAAGAGATAAAACCATCCGACCTGACCTTTGAGTTCAGATGAACTGTGGGGTCCACATAGCTGTGGTTCTGATCTTTAGGTGCTTTTAAAGGTTTAAATTAACTTCTGTTCTTCAACATGTGTGGCCAGATGTTCCCCGTGGTTCCCAAATCTAAAAAAACAAAATGTCGAGTTTTTAAAGTTTTATTTAGAGGTGAAATCTTTAATGTATGTTTGATCTTTATTATAAGTTGTCATCTATTCATTTTCTGCTTCCTGTCTGGATCTGCAGTCTAAACAGTCAAAAATTTTACTTTGAAGGGCACAGTCCCAGCTCTACTGGGACCTCCACTCTGCTTCACCTGTAGTTTGAGCAATTTGCGGTGGGGGGGGGGACTTCTCTGACCCAGCTGCATCTCCGGTGAGATGAGTGGGCTGGAGGTGGATGTGGGGTGGCAGCTGAACGCTGAGCAGGTCGGGGAGGTGAAGCGCAGGCTGCAGGAGGAGGAGCTTCCTGAGGAGGAAGGTGCACAAGTGTGAGTAGGAGGCAGAGCTACAGAGATTCAACAAAACCCAGAGGTGAGCTCACACACCTGAGAGTGATGTCACTGATACACAACAACAAACCTGTCAGAGAAGTTTGAAGAACAGCTGATTCACATCAACACCTGCGCTTTTATTCTGAAAACCAGCCATATATTTAAATTTTTTGTGCTTCGTTAAATTATCACTGTGTTTATAATTTATTGATTGGTGTGTGTGAATGAGAGCTCCACAGTTAATGAGGTCAATGAGGTGAAGAGTAATCTGGATACTGACGCGTCACAGATCCATATTTAGATGTTTTTATTTCTCAGTGCTCACGTTTAACCATCGCTGTTACTGTTATTGTGTTGGAGCGACTCTGACTCACATCGATTCTTCTGGGATTAATAAAATATTCTGATTCACAACATCAAGGTGCTTTTTATAGTAAGATAAAGACCCCACATTAATACAGAGAAAACTCCAAACTGACAATCATATGACCCCGTATGAGCAAACACTTTGGCGACAGTGGGAAGGAAAAACTCCCTTTTAACAGGAAGAAACCTCCGGCAGAACCAGGCTCAGGGAGGGGCGGGGCCATCTGCTGTGATTGGTTGGGGTGAGAGAAGGAAGACAGGATAAAGACATGCTGTGGAAGAGAGACAGAGGTTAATAACAGATATGATTCAATGCAGAGAGGTCTGTTAACACATAGTGAGTGAGAAAGGTGACTGGAAAGGAAAAACTCAATGCATCATGGGAATCCCCCGGCAGCCTACGTCTATTGCAGCATAACTAAGGGAGGATTCAGGGTCACCTGGTCCAGCCCTAACTATATGCTTTAGCAAAAAGGAAAGTTTGAAGCCTAATCTTAAAGTAGAGATAGTGTCTGTCTCCTGAATCCAAACTGGAAGCTGGTTCCACAGTTTGTCAGCAGCTTGTTGTAATGACAGTGATCGTCCAGCAGAGGGCACCACGTGACAGCAGGAGTCCTGAGCTGGCCTTCAGCCGCTCTACCTGCTCTTTAGTAACTTTATTTATAAAAGACACGAACGCTCTTTGTTTTTCTATGAAATGTTTTTTCTTCACTGCTAAAAGGTAATAAAAAATTCAGCTACGAGACAATTATTGCAGAGAAATACTTAAAAATAAAAAAACGAATAACTTTACAAAGCCCATTAAAGATGATGAGCTGATAAAGGATCATAAAGGAAGACTATAGAAGACAACATCACATAAAAGCACGTCCATAAAAATGTGGTTTTGAAGGAAGTGGCTGATTTTATGAGCCCGCTCTGCTCCAATTACTAGAACTTTATTTCCACAAACAACAAAACAGACCGACTGACATGAAGCGACCCCTGCAGCGTGCAGAGAGACCACAGCGCGGCAGCAAAGGTGCCACAGGGGGAATCGAACCGTGGACCTGCAGCACGCCGTGTGCACAGGACACATCACCACATTCACTCAGGAAGCTGCAGGCCTGCACACAGTGCTCCAGCAACATCCATCAGAACCACACCTGTCGCCTCCACCAGCTTCTGATTCCGACTCAGCCCGGGTCCAGGACTGGACTCGTGTTCCCACCTGAACTCCACCCTGAGAGGTCTCAGCGTCCGCTGGAGTCTGTGGTCTGAGGAAATGAGCGCGAGGGTGAAAAGTGAGAGAAATATAAAGAGAGCGGAGCAGTGTGAAGGCGAAGTTCAAACATGACATTTACAGGTGAAGGTGGAGGTTCCTTTATGATGCGTGTTCGAGGAGATCCTGGATGTTGTTTAGGCTCCGCCCTCTTTGCCTCAGAGGTCACAGAGACTGAATTAAAGATGTTATCCACCCCAATTTCCTGCTGATGAAGCTGGTCTCAGTGTGCGTCTCCCTGATGGGAAATAAAGGTGTGTGTGTGAGCGTTGGGGGGTTGGAGGTTGCCCCTGGGCTTCTTAAACATAACTCCGGCTCTGACACCAGCCGTAAATGTTCAGGTTTTAAACCCTGAAGCTTCAAGTGTTTCTGAGTGAGTGAGGAAGAGGAGGAGGAGGAGGAGGAGGAGGAGCTGAGGCAGACCAACTTTTCGTGGCTCGTGTCGTTCAGCCTCAGCTCCGGGAACTCGCTGAAGTGCCGCCGGGATGAAGCGGCAACGTTTCCGTCCTCCGGTGCGCGGCAGAGAGAGGAGAGCGGAGTGAGAGCGTCTCCTTCCTCCCGCACGTTTCTCTTTGCGTTTTTTTCGCTTATCGGTTTGAAAACAGCTCGTGTGCACCTGAGTGACGCTCAGCCTGCAGCAGGAGGAGCGGGGGGAGAGCAAGGCTGATGTTTCACGCCGTGTGTTTGCGTGGATTCGCTTCTGCGGACGCCGCTGTGCTGACCCAGCCTTCCTCCGGACTTCACGCGAGGACCTGTGGATTCTTCACTTAAACTTTGTTCCACGCTGTCGTCTCTCTGGTCGTCTCTCATTGATCAGATGTTTCCTGGAGGTACAGCTGCTTCTGCAGGCAGGACGCTGAGAGCTGGTGAGTGTCTGCTCAGGTTTCCTCTCACTCATCTCCACATCTGCTCAGATGAAACAGGGAGGATGTGAGGTCACACCCTGAGGACCAAACGTTTCTCCAGTTGCATCATCAGGAATTTTGTTTTCCTTGGTGGACCGAGGAACTCAGAGAACTTTAAAGACTTCAATGGGAAAAACCCGAAACTGCCACAAAGAAGGAAACTATCCTAAAACCAGAACTAGGTGTTTGCTCTCTGGTGAACCCCATCTGAGGAATTCAGGGAGACCCTGGATGTTCTTCAGTACATACTGAGAAGAAAGTGAGTGAAACTAACGACACACCTGAATTATCCTCCTGGAAGAACCTGCAGCATTACCTCAGACAAACCTCAGTGAGTTGCCAGACTCAACGGTTTTGAGGGAGGGATGTGAAGAGAGCTTCTCAGACACTGAGCTGAAACCACAGGAACTACATGACATCCCAGGAGGCTTCTGAAGACGCTGAAAGTCTGAATCTGAAGCTTCCTGAAAGTCTTTCTAATTTTTTACGTGACCCCCGAGAAATGCTGAATGTGGCAGAAGAAACAAAGTAAGTGCGGGTGTACCAAAGATCCTGGGTGTAAGAATATTTAAGAGTTGCTGTAACTGGTCATAGACTAACACTTTGACCAATCAGGATGAGCACTTCAAGGATCCTGAACATCCATAAAAACAGGAAACTCTGAGGAGGAGGTGCTGTGCAGGAACATGACTTTTGGAAGTCAAAACTTTTAGGTGCTCAAAATCCTCAAACACCCCAGAGGATTCGAAGAGTCGAGTTCTTTAGGAGAAGAAGGTATTCCAGTGGAACCTGGGGGCGTACCCCAGATAGTTCAAAAGAACTCCTTGTGGATCCCCTGAAGGACAGATGGGGACCTTGCGGGACCTCCAGTATGCCCTGCAGGAGAAGATCGAGGAACTTCGGCAACGCGACGCCCTGATAGACGAGCTGGAGCTGGAGCTGGACCAGAAGGACGAGCTGATCCAGAGGCTGCAGAATGAGCTGGACAAGTACCGCTCGGTGATCCGGCCCGCCACTGCCCAGCAGGTCCAGGCGCAGCAGCAGAACCTCGTCCTGCAGCCGGACCAGCACCGCAGCAAGCGGCAGGCCATCTCCGCTGAACCCACCGCCTGTGACATCAGCGACCTGTGCCATGTGACCCTGCCCTTCTACCCCAAGAGCCCAGAGTACGTAAGCTACCTGCACCTTAAAGGGTTAGCTCGTCCTCCTGCAGATCTGCGGCTCTGAATGAGGGCAGCGCTGCAGGACTGTTAGAGGTTTCTTTATTGTAGTCAATGACATGAGTAGAGCTGATGTGATGAGACAGACCGCTGCACCTTTACCCTCAGACACATAAAGGGTCATTTCCAGTCGTTTGATGTGATTATGCTGTTTGGAGCTGAGGTTCATGTCTGCTGCGATTCTTGAGCGAAGAACGCAAACATCCATAATAGATTGAGTTTTTGCTAAACGCTCCAGCTGCAAACACCTGGCTCACATCTGAATTATGAGCAGCTGTTCATCAGCCACGCAGACGTCCTGAGAACCAATCAGATTTAACTCTGTTCTCGTGACTGATGGGCTGAAGGTGCAACAACAGTGAGTTGTTTTACGGACTGAAGGCTGCAGCTTCGTTGGGTGTGATTAAAGCTGGAAGCTTAGACAGTTTGTGGGTAACACCACAGCTTCAGGTCCGTCATGTCTAAGGTGACGTATCAGCCACACAGCAGCTGTGACGCTGCGCGGTCAGAGCGCCGTGTCGTGGTTTCTTTGAGGAGAAAGGTGAGAGGAGCTCCTGCCTCCTGAAGCCTGTACAGGGGCTGATCCAGGATACCAGACCCTTCAGGCTCTGTCCTCCTGCTGCGTGTCCTGGTGTTAGGCTCACAGCTTTAGGAAGACCTGGACTTCACTGCTCTGCATGGGTTTCATATTTAGAAATAAATCCAGGTACAAAGTCTCTGCGTGCGTTCATGAGGCTTTTTAATATGGCGCTGCTGGTGCTTCACAGCACCACCAACCCTCCGATTAACACATGACCTGCTCTACCACAGACAGATTTTACTGCTAGATTACAACTTAGGTGTTTAAATAAAACAATTTTTTATGAAGTCAGGCATCATTCTGTATTTTCATCACTCTGTATTTTGGAAATAAGTTGGGACTAATCTGGGAAACTCCTGCAGCTGTCACAGACTGGCACAGAGCGAGTCGTCGCTGTAGCTTTTTTTAAAAAGCAGAATTTAATAAGAATCAGTAAAAACACAAAGATGTGAGCAGGTCAGTGTGAAGGGAGATTCCAAACGGGACCAGGTCATGCACGAAGTGTGGGCGGCTGTTTTGGGCCATACTTCTGTGGACTTTTAATTTTGCGGTCTGACATGAGCTAGGTGCATGTTGTTATTTTGAATGATGCTTCCTGCATGAAGCCGCCACACGTTAGCTCATGTTGTCATTGTTGTCTGGGACCAGGATGCACAGCATGAATGTGCGGCTGCGTCTTCATCTCTGCTGCTTCAGTGAAGGTCTGATTACAAACGAGTAGACGTGTGGAGCCGGCAGCACGGGTCGCTTCACCTGCACAGGTGGAAGCAGAGGACGGCGTGCAGATTCATTCTCCTCCCTGATCTTTCCTTTGTCATTTTCCACATTTGCCTCTTCAGCAGTGAGGAAGCATGAAGCATTCATAAGTGATGCAGTGTGTTCACCAGCTTTTCCTTCCACGGATGAAGTCGCCCCGAAACACGTCGACGGCTTTCACATCACATGATTCGTTTGCACGTGTTAGTCTTCATGTTGTCGTGGACACACGTATGATGAGTGACGATTGGCTGTTTTCTCCTGTTAACGGTGGGCAGCGCGTAGACGACCAGTTTGGACTCAGAGTTTTTTTGGTGCCTGCAGCACTGCAGGGCCTCGTCAGCCTCGCGCAGGCTGGCCACTCCACCTCAGAGGCCTCCAACACCAAACACTCGACGCGGTTCGGGAATCCAACCTGCTAGTTTAGTTTATCTGCTCGTGTGTGATCAGGATGTCTCTGACTGCAGCCACTCATGGTTCAGCTAAATAGATTTAAATGCTGTGTTTAAGTAACATACACAGAACTATTATATTCATAAGCTCAAAACCTTATTGGAAACATAACTGAGTTGAATGGTTGGCTGTAAAGTCTGCCGGGTTCTGGTGTGCAGGAAGTGGAAGCAGATGGATTTTCTGAATCAAAGATGGTCCGACCAGCAGCAGCGTTTGAAGGCGCTGTGAGTAATCAGATGCTCAGCCTCAGTTCTTCAGTTTCCAGGACACGTCACACTGCAGTAACCTTCGGCTCCCTGATGCGCCTCTGCCGCTCACACGTCTGTGTGTCGGCTCAGCTTTCCGCCAGAGAACCACCTGATGCTGCACTTCCTGTGCGAGTGTAGACATTTGTACCTGTAATGACTCAGTGTTTGCTCCTGACAGTTTCCTGCACTCACTCAGTTTGTGCTGGAGTCACGTTTGTTCTACTTTTAACTCTGAGTGAAGCTTTTTCTGGAAACAAGGTTTTACTCAGAGCTGCTGCCCAGTTTTACTTTTGGACCTTTATGATTGGTTACAAAGGTCATAAACAAATATGCAGGACTGCTTTCTTCCCTTTGTGCAACATCTCTACAAATGGAAACATCACATTATCTTTTCAGGAAGTCCTAAAAACTCCCTGAAAAGCCTTCAGCTAATCCAAAATGCTGCAGCAAGAGTCCTGACAGGGACTAGAAAGAGAGAGCAGATTTCTCCTGTTTTGGCTTCCTGTTAAATCCAGAATTCAAAATCCTGCTCCTCACATACAAGGTCTTAAATAATCAGGCCCCATCTTATCTTAATGACCTTGTAGTACCATATCACCCTATTAGAGCACTTCGCTCTCACACTGCTTGCGCGAGATGTGGCTTACTTTTGTGTACGTATACATATATATGGACCAGATGGTGTCGCCCCCTGCTGGCTGTTTGAGAAAAGCTGCACTTTGGCATCAGTTCCACTTTTCAGACCTGGAAGCTGCTGCCGTCTTTATTTACAGGTTGTGGGTGGTTCCCACTAAAGTTGGTGTTTGCAGCACACACACACACACACACACACACACACACACACACACACACACACACACACACACACACACACCTGACAGGGTTTCATTTACATCCCACCACCTCTCGCTGTCAGCGCCTGCCTGAGTGTTTGTCTCTGTGTGTTGTTGTAGAACAGTGTCACGGTGGAGAGTGTGTGGGCTGCGAGCGCCCACCAGCTCTCCTGCTGTCTGCAGCGAGGCTCCAGAGGCAGACGAGTTAATGATGAGCTGAGACTCGCCTGTCACAGATCTGCTGCTGACACTGGACTTTTATTTTGAAAGTTGTGTGTCAGGCAGGCTCGTCCTGTTTGTTCCTCGTTGCTGTGTTTGATGAGGTCGTTTTCATTGGCGGCTCTTTTCCTCCTGCTCCACACGTTTCTGCTGACAGTTGGATGTTTTTGTGTCACCTGCGTTTCCTGATGTGATGTTTCGTTTTCTCGTCCTTTGTGTTTGTGAATAATGATTATAAGATTATTGCTGCAGTCCTCAGGTCTTCTCCGTTTTCTTTCCTCTCTGCATCTCATCTCAGGCTCTGTGAGCACTCTCTGAGTTTGGTCCTTCTTTCAGTTTACTTCGGTTTTATTTTGAAAGAAGGGTCCTTTGTGGTGTTCTTTCTTTGTACTTCCTGCGCTCCTCAGCGCCCTGATCCTTCTCTGGGCTTGTATTTCAGGTCATTTCCTCACTCTCAGTTTCGCTTCCTCCTCACGTAATCGTCGTAGTGATCGCCTCTTTAGAGTCACCTGTGTGTTACCTGTTCCCAGTCAGCCAATCGGTGCTCTCACGTCATAATGTGCAGATTTGCACTCAGTAATGCTGCTGTCTGTGTTTCCAGATGATCTCCTTGTGCAGGACTTGCATGCAGCGCAGTGCTGCATTTCACTGTCACATGCTCATTTGATGTTGTGTGTAGGGTCACATGACGCATCCTTTTATGTGAGCATGCTCAGAGCCTGCAGCAGGAAGCCTGTGCTAGCCAGCTAACACAAAGAAAACCAGCTTTGTTAGCTGGTGTGTTTGAGTCTGCGTGTGTCCTCGGGCTTTACTCACCCTCGCTCGCTCTTTGTGTTTGGTATGTTTTCTGATAAAACTTCTTTATTCTGCCCTTTCTATTCTTCTTCTTCTTCTTCTTCTTCTTCCTCTTCTTTTTCCAGTCACCCCCTTTAGGGATCTGCAGAGCTGATCATCTGCTGCAGCTATTCCTATCCCAACATCCTCCTAGCCCTCTGCATGTTCTCCTTGTCCTCCTCTCACATCCACGAACCTCCTCTGAGGTCTTCCTCCTCTCCTGCTGTCTGCAGCTCCATCTTCATCATCCACTCTCCCTTCTCTGCACACGCTCAGACCGTCTCAGCCTCTCTGATTTTTCGCTCCAAATTAAACTTTTTTTGGTTTTAGTTGCCTTGAAGATGCTTCAGCCCTGTTGTTTCCACAGTTACAGACGAGTTTTTCTTTCCTCGGGGATGCTGAGGCCTGCAGTCATGCACCGGCTGTAGCCTGGTATCTCCGTGCTGCATCAGTGGGTGTCGCGTGGAGCGTCATGCTTCCCTTTCCTCAGACGGATCTCCATCAGGATATGAAAGTCTCCGTGTTTCCTCCCGACTCTTCCTGTGATGCTTTCGCCCCCTCTGGCACCTCTTTCGTTTGCTCGGCTCTGTGTTTATTGTCTGTGTTCAATTAAGTTTTTCTATTTTTTTCTTTGAAATACATTTCCTCACATCCTGCTGATTAATTTTTGTTCTTTAATTCTTTTATGTAAACAGTAGTTTGGTTCCTATCTCGTCACTTGTTCTGCTTTTCCTTTTATTTTCCTCCTCACTCCGACTCACGCAGTAATAATGTCTGCTTCATCACCCCCTCCATCCACTCACAGCGCTCTTTCATTGCTTTCCTCCTGAGTCCAATTTGCATGCAGCAGCTGGCCACTCATATTTCTTCCTTTGCAGATTCACCAAAATAAAACCCAGCTAATGGATCCTCTCTGTGCTCGTTTGACTGCCTGGACAAAATAAAACTGTCAGTCTAACGTTAAGTAGACCTTCAGGTGTATTTTTTCCTCTGTAATACAGTTATCTTGCATACATGAATGTT